TTGAGGTTTTCACACACCACATCAACTATATTACACTCCCCCTGGCTCTCAAAAACTGTACCTTTTTCCTTTGATACCAAATTTTGAAAGTAGGTCTCCTTTGACACCTACTGGATTGTAAATTCCAGCACAAAGGGATGGCCTAAAGCTTCTTGTGCATTCTAGAGTAATTCCTGTCTTGACCTAGTGCATTTCTCAACTCCTACAAAGCTAGTAGCGGGGTTTTATGAATGGTACACCCTAAAAATGTCAGAATGCATTCTGTGTGGTCATAACAGTCATTACTGAAGATTTAATATGCCAAACACTGAGTACAATGGCATAGTATAACAATCACAGAAAAAAAAGCTAGATAGATCTAATTCGGTGTTTAACAGATTATATGCTACATGCTTTTGTTTGCTTAGGAATGTAAAAGTTTGGAAAGATCTCATTCCAAAGCAAATCTTCAGCATACCCCTGTTAGACTGAAGGAAAAACTGAGAGCAGAAGGAACCTCTCTTTTCTTTGTTCAAAGATTCTTTATATAATTATAATTCAGAGAGTTAATAGGAAGCTTAAAAATATCCTGTCCCTGGATTTCTGGGCATTGATTCTGAATCCAGTTTATGACTTTCAAACTCAGAGTAGAGCGTTTCAGAAAATAAGAAAATGTGTCCGTCAGTTGACTCAAACATATTGGTATAATAAATAATTTTTTTTCATTTGCACACTCAGTTCAAATATAAAATGAGAAAATGTAATGTCTGTGCATACCAGAACACTTGGATAATTAACTGAATAGACACCAAAAACAGGACAGTGGATTTGTTCAGGAAGTTCTTACAAGCCAGAATAGATTGGAACTATTAAATCTTGGCATAAATCCAAGCTAAGGCTCTAAAAACTACTTACATAAATACAGGCTTAGTTTTAATGGAAACTGCTTCTTCTTCCTTTTACCAGGAAGCTATGGGGTAGACTTACCACTGGTTGTTCCCAGAAAAAAGAGCGCAAGAAAAGGAGTCATTTGTAAAATGTTACTGGAAACCAAATGGCTTTGGCAAATGAATAGGTTTTCAACTAAATCAGGTAATAGACAACATTATAAAGTATCTGTTTGTACAAAGGGCATCCAGCACTTTTTTTTTTTTAAATATATGGGAAAAGCAGATTTTCATGATAGTCATGATTTAGTAATATTGCTTCTCAAGAGATAGAATGATAAATTACTATTTTCCCCATGAACTGGAAAGCACTGTTCTTTTTTAGAGGGCAAATTGGGTTTGACTGCTTACACATAACAAAGGAACTTCCTTACCAAAGATGCCATTATGAGAAAGTAATATACAACCTGACATGGGTGAGGAGACTTTTTCCACTCATGAAGAAAGTTATCCTTTAAATTACAATATTACAACTTTAAAATTTCATTTTCCATAGATTTCAACTATGTTAATACTGGAAAGCTCTATTTTAAGATTTTATATTACATAGTTTATAAATTGTCAATAAGAAACAGAAGTGTTCCTAGGCCATATATACAAATCACTAAATAATACATCATTTTTTTTGAGCACATTTCTACTAAACTGCACTCACTTAATTACTTTTGTGTATTGGGAGCATGGCCATTTTTGTTTAAAAAGAACAATAAGTAACTGATTTTTTTTTTTTTTTCCCCCCTTAATGGTAGATAGATGTGGACAAGGAGAAAGAAAGGTGGGGGCCATTTTATACCACCAGCAAATCTGAGAACTAGAACAATACAAACAATGGAATTTAAATATAAATTAAGAACGATATACGACAGGAGGACATGTCTTTAAAGTGAGTTGTTTTATCTGGGTAAGAGAACTGTACAAATTGCACACAAGTAAATCACTGATGTCTAAAATCACGTAAAATGAAATATAAAATGCTAGTTTAAAAACAAACAAGGAAAGACCCTTAGGAGTTTGAGATCATTGTTTTGGAATCAAAACAAAAATAAAGCTAGCTATAAAATTACCACTTTGGAAGGCTTGCCTAATGGGACAGCAATTAGATCTCATAAAGAATCAAGTCATACTGCTGTCAGGTGCCCAAAACCTGCGTAGAAGGCCAATACATTATCTGCCAAAAAAATATGAACAGTGGACCAAGTAAAGGTTCACTTAGAAAAGTGGGTCTAAAGGAAAACAATTTTCCCAAGATGTGGAGAAATTTTCTAAAGCTTAAAAATGTGTACCCAATATTTATTGCTCTCTTCATGTACTTATATACTCAAGCATCATAACACTTGATTTAACATTTACAGTGATTATTCGATATGACTCCCCTCTGATGCTGCACTGTCATATGCTGTTTCTGTGGCTCTGAAAGGGAGAGATTTTTATAACTCCTGTATATGTTCCGTACAAAACATCAAGTCAACCCAAAAAGTCCAGATCCTGCTGGAAATAATATACTGGATGTGTGAGCATGAAAGCTATAGGATGCACAGTGCAACACATACAGAATTATATACTTCTGCTCTCCCTGCAAAATTCATAGCTAAAGAGAGGAGAAATGTCCAAGTAAAAGTCCACAATTAAAATACATGCAGCTTGTTCCTCCTCCCCCTCCTAATCCCCCAAAAATCAATTTACAGCTGCACCAAACCATTTGCCAGATTTTCAGATTCTGGTAAGCAAGTTTCTCCAGGGACAAATAAGAGCACTCACAAACTTACAGCATTCTTCTGTTCAGGTTGCATTGAAAACTGCCAATATTTACATTTGCAACAGCTGATTCAATCATTTTTTACAACACTGAAAGCATGCAATGAAGTACAAAAGTGAAGATATTCAGAACCTAAAAAAGCATGTATAAGTATTTCATTCTTTTCTTGGATATTTTTCTATTTACTCCAATTAATCTTTTATAGGCCTGTGAATTTAGAGATTTTTCTTTGTATAAAAGAAGTTGATTGAGTTAATAGGCCCTGCCAGCAGGTTGTTCCAAGCTTTATTTACAACACCTGGAACTGTTGAAAGTTTTTTTAATTATTTCCTTGTGAATATATTTTATATATACATATATATATACGTAAGCTTATTGGATCATGCTAACTATGTCTCTTTTAGGGTCCATTTTACCCTTTTTTTGGATGACACCCTCCTCTCCATTCACTTTATTTATAACTGTTCTTAATCATCAAGGAAAATTCAGCACGTTTAGCATGCAAAGCAGATTATATCTGGGAAGAGTAAAGACAGAAGTAATGAAGAATTATGTGAATAGCTAAGGGTGAAAAGATAATTTGGGGAATATAATTTTCCCCTTTCGAAGTAAGAGAGCAGGCATTCTCAAACTCTCGCAAAGACAGTGGTACTTAGAACCTGGTAAGCTCCAGTTCTGAATGGACACCCATATGGATACTACAGCTATTAGAGCCACACAATTGTTTCATTGCAAAAGAAGTCAATCAGTAATGCAGGCACACAACTTTTGATGCTTAATGCTACTGGCATTTCTTTGTCCAAGTCAGAGCCCAAAATCAGCCATGAAGCCACACTTCTAATTCAACATCATCTAAATAAACAGATCTGACAACACCTGGCTTTTAATGGTACTTTTAATGTACTTTTATTGAATTTAGGCATTTAGAACATAGCCATTCCACTTGTTGTCTTACTAGACTCCAGCCATTTAATCCAACACCAGAAAACCAACCTCAAAGCAAATATGCTTATCTGAAAATCAAAGCCACAAAACGTATCTTGCAAACCTGGAGGATAGTGGGTTGAAGGTTTTTTTGTTTGGTTGGGTGTGTCCCCCCCCATTTATTTATTCAATTTATTTTAATCTCTGAGGATTAGATGTGTGTTCAAATCCACGATTTTGGTTTGGACCTTTCTCTTTAAAAGGTACCAGTTACTACATGAGCTCAATGTCAGAACACAACACACTACAGCACTTTCAGGACATCCGATTTCCAGTATAGCATATCAATTTACACCCAAACCAGGATGTAGCTCAACACCCACCTTTAGCCCTGGCACAACAGTGATACAGGGCTGCAATGAATTAAAATCTAATCAGGTGCTTTGCTCATGCTTTCCACCTGAATCACAGATCTTTGTTCAGTTGCACTGCCTTCCTGCCCGCTTCTTTCAGAAGGTTTCAGGCAATAAGTCTTTCTACTAACACTACCTCAATCTTTTGCAATGGTGCAGAAGTTGAACACTCACAAAGTTACCATCAATTCATAAATGTAAGGCTGACTTTGATTCTGGCATCCTATACAAACATTGCCTCTACATAAATGGTACAGATAATCACCATGGAATCAATGTGTAATGAGGGAAATAACTAAGTATTCTTACTCCAATTGTAAATGCTGCAATGTTTATAAGTTTCTCCTTTTTAGAACAAAGGTGAAAGAGGTCGGAATGCACCCTTCCTGACTGTTCCAGTTTTTCACCTGCTCCATGAAAATTTTGCTCCATAGGTATGCAGAAGGAATTTCAGAATTTGCCCAAGGTGCTTTTTAAGTTCTAAGAACTGGTGAAAAAGGAAATTGAACACTGATCTGCCTTTAATGTTGAAAACCAGAGAAAAATCCCTTTTTATTGCAATGAAAAACACGTTAACATTCCAAAATCATAGCCCTAAATTCTTGAACTGACAAAATGCACTCTCATTGTAAATATTAGAAATTTTACGAATTCTCCCCAAACTACCAATGCTACATGTAATCATCTACTTAGCAATATTTAAGTAATCTAGTCTCTTTACATTCTTTTCTCACACTCAAAAAAATATCACTGAATGTTATTATCCATAGATTTATTTTCTTTCCCAGTAGACTACCTTTAAATCCTACTTAATATGAATTAAAACCTGTACTCTTGACAGGTACAGTTTTCTCATCTAGAGCTTGAAAGGTACAGCGTTCTCTGTGAAGTGCCAATGCAGCAGTAACTAAAACAGAGAAGGCCTTACAGCAAAGCTTACCACCTTGCAGCAGTTCACACCAAAAACAACTTAATGCATACCTCTGTGATTGGTGAGGTCTCTAGATCCTGAAGGCAGAGGTGTATAGTGCATCTCTGGAGAGGTGGAGGCAGCATCACTGCAGACCTGGGTGATAAAACAAATATTAACAGTATTCTGGGTGAAAGTCAATGATTATGCAAAGGGGATGCACCTGCAAAGTGAGTGCTATGATGTGGTTACAGGTGCACAGAGTCACCAACCATGGAGGATTATTTTGTTTTTGTTAAGGCTGTCTGCAGGTCTTCAATGTAGCTGTACTCACAAGAATTTACACAATGACATCAGGTAGCTCACAGTTTCAAAAATTTACCATCTTTATCAGGAAATCTTTGGGCAATGTTAAAAACATTCCTTTTGGTGAAACAGATTAATATTTACCTGAAGTTAATAACTGAAGGGCAGTCGCAGGTATAGACTTTGCTCTGGAGTGTTTACGATCTGCCCATTGCAATGTACATAAAAAGACGATGGGTTTTAATAGAAGACACAAAGGACAGTGTTCACTAAAAGTTACAAAATAATTTGCAACAGAAAAGACAAGGCAGATAAAGAGAAGAAATACAAAACCTAAACTATTTCTTGAATTTCATGATAATTTACTAAAGGGAATCTTGAGGAAAATAATTGCTGTCTTCTATGCAGGTTGTTCCCTAATGATCTATTGGTTTATAAGCTGCAAAAGTCTACCCAAGGAATCCACTTGAACCTTGCTTCTTATTTTTTAATTAATCTTATGATCAACAGTTATGCATTTTTTTTTAATTGAAACGAGTTCAAACTCAGATTTACAGTGTCTGGTTAAGATAAAACTGTAAAATAAAGCTAAAATATTTTGGAGTTTAAAAGTTTAAATACTAATTAAATTTTAACTGCCAGGCTAAACCCAAGAACAACAAGGGTATCAGCCCTATCTTTGCGCCTTGCAAAAGTCTGGTCATAACATGAAGATGCATCATGCATCAAAACAAATGTCTTAATCGAGACAGGTTTGCCTAAACAGCAAGGATGCTACTTATCGGATATGAATAGATATCTACAAAATCCTGCCTCAGCTTTCTCGCCAGTGAAAACATACTCTTGTTTTCAGAGAGGTAATGTTATAGACACAGCTCTCACCTTCAGCCAGAATGAATAATCCTAACATTTTAGCGAACTGTAAATATGCAGGTCAATCTACCCTGGACCATGAAGTACTGGAAAACTTCCCTCTGATGACCAATACGAGCTCAGGGCACATAACATCTCAGAGGATGAGATAAATGCCCCTAACACCCAGCAATGTACCATCGGAAATGAATTCCAAGAACAGGCATCTGTTCACAACTGTCTCTTTTCCCTAGGCTTAGTTGTTCAGGGTAAGACAAGAAGGAAAATGTCAGTAACTATTTAACATAAGACTTCATCCCTGTAAATCACTCCAAAAGCTGGAGCAATAAGTGGTCTCGTACTATACACTCTAGATGTTATCTGCTTATTCAAGTGTACTTATTTGGGACTCTGATAATAGTGAAGGTTTCTCTTTGGTACTTTTAATCTCAATTTGGTCTGTTGACAGCTTGATGATAGCTTTTCCTAAAATTACTGGAAGAGACTTTGCCTTTTCAGCAATATACCACTGAGTGAGCAAAATTCAAGAGCTTCTAAAAAGGATATTGGAGTGAAGGGGCAATTTAGCTTTATTTCCAATTTCAGGAAAAGCAAGAACAGGAGGGTTTGTTTATTGGTGTTTTGCTGTTATTTTATGTACAGTATATAATTCTCTGTCAAATATAGAACAGTTTTCATTACCTTTGAGCTAAGCATTCAGTTAGAGCAACTTTAATTCTATGGAATATCATCCAGGGTTAGTATTGTTTTGCACAAACACTGGCTGGAGATCTGGATCATGTTTCTGAGTAAGCCTGTGCACCAACAGAAAGACAACTATTTGATACCCTTTCCACATATTGACGTTTGGCCCTAAGCTATTTTACAAAGATACTTCTATAGATTGTATTACTCTTAATATTCACAGGAATATTTTGACAGTGACAGCATTGACATGTGACAGTTATGTCTTCAAATATCAGTGACATATGCACAAAGAGTTCTTGTTGCAGTGGAAAGTACTAGAAATACAAATAGCTTTGAGAAAGACTGGTTAAAATGGGTGGTAACTTCAGTTTTACATGAACAGGTCATCAAATAGCTCAGTAAAGAAATTCTAACAGAATTATTACAGGAGAAGCTTACATTATTGCAAGCATTAGAATAATCCAAATTTTGCAGTCTATCACAGTACAAGGTATAAAAGTTACCAGGCCAGTAAAGTTAGACTATTCACAGCCTAAGTTATGCACATAACCTAACACTTGCTAAATAGAGGTATCTCTGTCTTCATATTCACCTGTAAATTTTGTCCAAGATAAGAATTTTCATACTTGAATATTAAACAGACTGTAAAAGAATACCAGATTTTCAAACCATGTTCATCAAAATTACAGATACTGTATAAACTGCAGTAGGAAAAAAAAAACCACAACCACCAAACAAACAAACACACATCAGCCAACACACACACACACACACACACCCAACCTAAACTTTGAGTAATTTTATTTAAAACAATGTTTATTGTTTAGGGAATTTTACTTTCTCTTGATGAGTAAGATGTGGCTTGATATTAGGCTATATTTGTTATAATGGAATATCATTAATACTCGCTCATAGGTGATATTCTTCTACTTGTGCCACACAGTTTGTATTTGTAGACTAGTATTTCTGTACTAATACTTACCCTTATATCTCAGGCATGCCAAAAATTCTTTACACACTTATACACATCCATAACTGTGGTAACCATTTATGTATTATTCATGATAAATTTTAGAGTACAGGAAGAACAGCATCATGTTGGCATCTTTCTGACAAGTGTTCAACAGATATGCAACACATATGGAAAGATGTGGTAAGTAAAATTGGTTCAATACACACATACATACAAAAGAAGATTTCCTTAGCTAAATACCTTTAATTCCAAAATATTATCAGAGAACATCACAGAGAGAAATCTTAGTTTGATCAAGACATCATTCAAAACACAGACTGTAGAGTGAAGAATGAGATGTGGCAGCAAAAACCAAAATACTTAAGAATATATTGTTTTCTATGGAACTCTAGACATAGACAAAGGATTCTCTTGTATCTGTTACCTTAGAAAGATTTTAAGTGTTTGGGATTTCTCCTTTGCAACATGTTTCTCATCTAGTATGGGAATATCTCAAATCTCCAGCATTTCAGCATGAGACTGATGAAGCAGCAAATTTCTTGGGGACAGTCTGACCCATAATTGTCAAGAATTCTTGTGTTCTGTGATACTGTTGTTTATTTGCATACATTATAGTTTTAACACTTGTCAAAGTCATCTAGCAAGGTCACAGAGAAATGACATTAGCAATTTGAAATCTTGTTGCTTCTCATTTGGTGATTTACATTCAAATGAAAATGGAAGCAATATTCTGATCAGCCCAATGGTACATATCACATTATCAGATTCAAAACTTGGATTTAGTAAGAAAGTATGAATTATTTCAAAATATTTTTAATATATCCACAGGGAAGCTACAATTAAGACTGAAGGAAATCACTGCATTATCCATTTTTTAAACTGACAAACATTTCTGCAGAAAGGAATATGATTAGTGGGACAACCTGTGGTATAGTTCCAACTTAAAGGATCAGCTCATACTTGCATTTGTAAAACTTTTCCTTTCATGCAAGTATACAACAATATATTCCTGATTAGCTTATTCTGTCTCAAATGCACGCAATGCTTAAAATTAATCACATTTACAATGACTTATTACAGCCATTAAGCAATACATGGGTTATTACAATTTTAAAGAATGTCTGCATAAACATCTACTTAGGCTAAGGACTGATTTTGGATCTCTTGAGCTCTCACATCTACCCCAAGAGACATAATGTAAAAAGTCTTCAATAATTAATACATATTTTGAAAAATTCCCTAAATACCTGTGTACCAATACACCAGTAATGTGTCAATTCAACCCTGAGGACAGCAACTCACATGTCGTAGCCCATAAGTATATTGGACCATCATGATTTATTCACATCAGTGATAAAATGTACAGAAATTTTCCATGGAACTCCTCAAGATTTTTCTCCTTCAAAATTTTAGACATAACTAACTAGAAATGAATTGGTTATAGATTACATATACAGGTTACACATAAATGTGTGATGAGGAACATAGTCTGCCTAAAAAGAGAAAACAGTTTAAACGTATTCATTTTGGGTTGAATTTATGACATGCTCGCAGAGAGTATCAAAACACTACTTTAGAAGGACTGTGTCTTCCCATGAGTTCACAGAGCACCAAGTACAATGGGGCTTTGATTTCACTGTGAAGTCTTTGAGAGCCTCGTGGTAGCAGAAAATATTACAGGAAGCAACAATACACGAAGTCTTTAACGATTCCATCCTAGGGAATGGCTGGGGAAGAACAACTTTATTTGCTTTTCTGTGAACTCTGGAAACATACAGCTAGTGAAAGAAAAGGACGAAAAGTGAAACGAGATAAAACAAGAGACTAGATAACATGCAAAAGCGGGACCTGACAAGACCTCTATATATGTCAGGCTACAAAAGGTCTTGCTTTCTTCTCCCTAGCTGTGAACTGGGCTGGAGGTCTCACAACGGTCAGCCTGAGCTTGCGACCGATCCCAATACACTGCTATGTTCCAGAAAACCTAGAGGTGGCCTGGCATGCCTATCTGGAGAGACAGCTTCCCTTGATGAAACTGGATTTCCCAATTCCACTGCTCCACAGCCAAGCTTAGTTAAACTGTGAGACAGCAGTTGCCTTTACTAAGTTCCAGCATAAGTTAGGGTCACTTTAATTAAGAAATTAAATAAGAAGAAGTAGTAACTTAACCAGTCCTAAAGAACACAAACACAAACTGATAACTCTGAACTAATATGTCATTTTAATTTATTTTTATAAAAGTATCCCAATAGAAAGAATTTCCAAGGGAACTATAGGGAGTATTTTTCCCAAGTTTTTTTTTTTTTGTTTTTTTTTT